TCTCTCTGCTATAGGCAGCTTACACCCTCACAGTTGCTTTCTGTTTGCCAGAGGTAAAGGGAGGCCCAGGAATGAGTCTGAACAGAACTAAGCATTATCTGCTGCCCAGACCCATCTCTCTAGGCTCCCCAAAGCCCTAGGCCATCACAAAAGTTTCTATCATTTGGGTATAGGGATTAGAGGGAAGGCTCTAAATCAAAACACCGAAAATAGCCACTCATTTGTATTCCTAAGTCGTATTGGCTCGTATTCATAGACACACTACCCAGTGGTCTTGTTGAATTAGTGGAAAACATAAAACAGTTTTATGTGCTCCACTCCTACTGATGTCGATGTACAAAGTTTGGAAGTCAACAATTGAATATATTGTTCACTAGAAGTGTACTTCCAGACTCTAAGCAGCCTCTCAGTGAAACTTTCATTAGACTGTCTTGAATCTCCTGTTCCCACCCACCTTATCCTGGAAGTCATGGAAAGCTTTTCTTCAGATCCTTCTCCTCATGTGCACAGGGCTCTCGGCCAGTCCTTGAGAGGCTCATGGCCAAGAAAGCACTTTCTTCATTTTCCCCATATGAGTCTCACCTCTGAATAGACTTCTGAAACCTTTCATACGGGGAGGCTTAAGGAATGTCAGGCCAACTGGAAGTCCTTCTGTGGCTACAGATGAAGGCATGCTAGAAGGGAGAAGCATCAATATAAATTTCTTGGCACAAGATGCTTTAAATTTGTATACGTTGAAAACAAAATGCTGTGAGGCTTGGTGGCACAAGCCTGTAACCCCAAAGCTGGGGAGGCTGAGGCAAAAAGATAGAGAGTGTAAGGCTAGCCTGAGCAACTGAAACGGACCATGTCTCAAAAGTAAAAAGATGTCAAGGGGCCAAGTGTGGTAGTCCCCACCTGTCACCCAGCACTTGGGAGGTACAAGCAGGAGGTTCAGGAGTTCAAGGTCATTCTGGACTACATAGGGAGTTTGAGGCCAGCCTAGACTATATGAAACTGTGCCTTAAAAGACAGACAGAGAGCGAGGGGGTGGGGGAAAGAGAGAGAGAGAGAGAGAGAGAGA